ATTTTATTAAAGNAGTTAAGAATAGTCCAACCTTAAAGATACGATGTAATGTGAATAATTTTAAAAAGAATATTAGTAATCGTTAAATAAATTTATTTAAAATGGTCAAATAATTTTATTAAAGGCTGTCTTATTTTTACGTGAGATGCACCTATATTGAAAAACAGCAAAGACTCAAAAAGGGGGTGATTAATGATTAATGATTGATGATTTGAACGGTGGTTGGAAAAGCACGTGGATACGATTTTAAAATGAATTTGGACCACATCCGGACAATAATACAAAGATATGTGATTAATTTCGGAGCTTTTTTATGGGGAGTTCTAAGCAAACATTAATAAGTTGGTACGTATATATAAAATATATATAGATATAGATCAGCCCTTGAAATCCTATATGTAACGTGTTCCTATAATTTGATTACTTTGGTATGTTAAATGAAACTTGAAATAAACTCTAATTACAAAAAAAAAAAAAAAAAACTTTGGCACACAACATCGAAAACTAAAACATTTTGTCAGAAAGGATAATGATTTTGGATCTTTTAGTTGTGGGATAACTTAATTATTGGTTAATTTTGTATCATTATTATGAATAATATTTAGAGGTAGAATTCATTTTTAATATCAAAGGGGCTGCAGTGGTGAAGCAGTGAATGTTAAAATTAATTATTTTAATTCAAGATCAACTGTGAAATTCAAAAAAAAATAGTTTATCAAATTTATCTAAATAAAAAATATTTTGTCGTCCTTAAAAAAAAGAAATTGAATGTGATCCAAATTGACTAGGGTTAATGTATCCCTAATTTGATCAACTATTCAAATTTGTTTATAATTAATCAAATTTTTATTTCATTTAAACTATTAAATCTAAAAAGTCAAGCATATGAACGGCCAAAATCGCTTCATATTTTTTTTGGTAAGTGGAATTACTCCATAATTTTTTATTGTTTTTATAGAAAATTCCAATATTATCAGCGGACATATCGGCCACAGCTAAAGGGATGTCAAAGACAAATGATGCTTGTTTGTAAAATACAAACTTACCCATGAACTTTGATAATATTTTATTTGGAATAATGTCTTAAATTTTTTGAAATTCTAAATATACCTTACATGTTTTAAAAATTGCAGTGGGGGGAGCTCCCCCTGTACATTGGCCCCTGTTTCGGATCGTAGTGGATGGATGGGATGAGCTCACCAGATTTCATTCAATTGCTCTTAATCATCGGTAGGTACAAATTGCCAAGAAGCTACAATACAATATGTCTTGGCTTGGGCTAGGCTAGACGTTTTTCCTTTTTTTGATACAAATGAAAAAATACACCCACCAGGGCCACCATGCAAACCAGTGACCACGACCTTGTGTCACCCAAGTAGATATAAGGATCACTCTCCCATGTCCCAAACACGACAGACAAGTACCTTTATAAGGTGGTGAGAGAGTGAGAGAGAGATGGAGTTGGAGTTGGAGTTGGAGTTGGGAGGCTTGAGCCACCTCTTTGTGTCATTCTTTCTGTATAACTTGGCTTCGATATTGGTGCTTCCAGCAATTACAGACGTGACAATGGCGGCAATTTGCCCCGGCGAAAATGAATGTTCACTCGCCATTTACCTCTCCGGATTGCAACAGGCGGTATGTAATTCTCTCTCCAAACGACTTTCCACTTCTCCTCTCCAGCATGCATTGGTTACATTATTTTTTCTCCTTGAAACGGTAACACCAGTTACGGGTGCAACTCGGGTTTGTTGGGCAGGTTGAGAGATCAATTCTAGTTCGATATTAATTATATAATCTTTGACTCTCTTCTTAACATTAATCCGATCTTAATTTAAATTTGGGTGAGCTCGGGTTGAATTCAATTATTTAATTTGAATTGATTTGAAGTTAAAATTTGAATTATTTAATTCGCGCTAGAATTTGAATTGGGTTCGTTAAAATGAATCGGCTAATAAGTATGCTATTAAATTTATTGATCTATATATTTATTTTTAAAAATATTTGAGTTGAGACCGATTTATATATTCTGTTTGAGCCTGATAATTTAATGTCTCAGCTCGGGTATTGTTCGAATTCAATTCAGATTAGTGTTTTTTAGTCCAAGCCTCAATTCGAGTATTAAAAACCTTAATTCAAGCCCAGTCTTTTTTCGAACTGGGTTTGAGTTGAATTCCATCGAAGTTACACTCCTAGACACCATGACATCATTGTCACTCACTATCCAATAATAAATCTACAAATAGATAAAGTGCATCTCACTTGAATGGAATACGTAGGACCCACCTGCTTATTCGTTGAATCAATTTTATTTCCAATAAAATAAATCAAAATTGATNTCTGTTTGAGCCTGATAATTTAATGTCTCAACTCGGGTATTGTTCGAATTCAATTCGGATTAGTGTTTTTTAGTCCAAGCCTCAATTCGAGTATTAAAAACCTTAATTCAAGCCCAGTCTTTTTTCGAATTGGGTTTGAGTTGAATTCCATCGAAGTTACACCCCTAGACACCATGACATCATTGTCACTCACTATCCAATAATAAATCTACAAATAGATAAAGTGCATCTTACTTGAATGGTTATTCAAATATGTAGGATCCACCTGCTTATTCGTTGAATCAATTTTATTTCCAATAAAATAAATCAAAATTGATGTAAATGATGGGTTGCTTTGATACAGATTGTAGGAGTGGGAATGGCGGTGATGATGCCGTTNAGGCTGTCTTATTTTTACGTGAGATGCACCTATATTGAAAAACAGCAAAGACTCAAAAAGGGGGTGATTAATGATTANATGTAAATGATGGGTTGCTTTGATACAGATTGTAGGAGTGGGAATGGCGGTGATGGTGCCGTTAATTGGAAAGCTATCTGATTTGTATGGGAGGAAAACATTACTAACAATTCCCTTCATTCTCTCCATTATTCCACTAGGTGGGCTTTCAAGTCTCAACTGTTTCCTAATTGTGTTTTTGTATCCATAAAACTTTGATGGATTCATTTGTAGATCTGAATTATGTGTTAGTTTTTTTTAAAAAAAAGTTTGTTTTATATATATATATNTTAAAATGAATTTGGACCACATCCGGACAATAATACAAAGATATGTGATTAATTTCGGAGCTTTTTTATGGGGAGTTCTAAGCAAACATTAATAAGTTGGTATGTATATATAAAATATATATAGATATAGATCAGCCCTTGAAATCCTATATGTAACGTGTTCCTATAATTTGATTACTTTGGTATGTTAAATGAAACTNTATGTATATATTTTATTTTATTTATCCAAGTCTGTCCCCTTCTCGAATATTAGTTGTATGTCAACAAATAATTTTATCATCTATATATCGAGATCGAGATCATGTACCTCACTTTTTGATCAANTGTATATATTTTATTTTATTTATCCAAGTCTGTCCCCTTCTCGAATATTAGTTGTATGTCAACATATAATTTTATCATCTATATATCGAGATCGAGATCATGTACCTCACTTTTTGATCAANACGTATATATAAAATATATATAGATATAGATCAGCCCTTGAAATCCTATATGTAACGTGTTCCTATAATTTGATTACTTTGGTATGTTAAATGAAACTTGAAATAAACTCTAATTACAAAAAAAAAAAAAAAAAANAATTTCGGAGCTTTTTTATGGGGAGTTCTAAGCAAACATTAATAAGTTGGTATGTATATATAAAATATATATAGATATAGATCAGCCCTTGAAATCCTATATGTAACGAGTTCCTATAATTTGATTACTTTGGTATGTTAAATGAAACTTGAAATAAACTCTAATTACAAAAAAAAAAAAAAAAAACTTTGGCACACAACATCGAAAACTAAAACATTTTGTCAGAAAGGATAATGATTTTGGATCTTTTAGTTGTGGGGATAACTTAATTATTGGTTAATTTTGTATCATTATTATGAATAATATTTAGAGGTAGAATTCATTTTTAATATCAAAGGGGCTGCAGTGGTGAAGCAGTGAATGTTAAAATTAATTATTTTAATTCAAGATCAACTGTGAAATTCAAAAAAAAATAGTTTATCAAATTTATCTAAATAAAAAATATTTTGTCGTNGGATAACTTAATTATTGGTTAATTTTGTATCATTATTATGAATAATATTTAGAGGTAGAATTTATTTTTAATATCAAAAGGGCTGCAGTGGTGAAGCAGTGAATGTTAAAATCAATTATTTTAATTCAAGATCAACTGTGAAATTCAAAAAAAAATAGTTTATCAAATTTATCTAAATAAAAAATATTTTGTCGTCCTTAAAAAAAAGAAATTGAATGTGATCCAAATTGACTAGGGTTAATGTATCCCTAATTTGATCAACTATTCAAATTTGTTTATAATTAATCAAATTTTTATTTCATTTAAACTATTAAATCTAAAAAGTCAAGCATATGAACGGCCAAAATCGCTTCATATTTTTTTGGGTAAGTGGAATTACTCCATAATTTTTTATTGTTTTTATAGAAAATTCCAATATTATCAGCGGACATATCGGCCACAGCTAAAGGGATGTCAAAGACAAATGATGCTTGTTTGTAAAATACAAACTTACCCATGAACTTTGATAATATTTTATTTGGAATAATGTCTTAAATTTTTTGAAATTCTAAATATACCTTACATGTTTTAAAAATTGCAGTGGGGGGAGCTCCCCCTGTACATTGGCCCCTGTTTCGGATCGTAGTGGATGGATGGGATGAGCTCACCAGATTTCATTCAATTGCTCTTAATCATCGGTAGGTACAAATTGCCAAGAAGCTACAATACAATATGTCTTGGCTTGGGCTAGGCTAGACGTTTTTCCTTTTTTTGATACAAATGAAAAAATACACCCACCAGGGCCACCATGCAAACCAGTGACCACGACCTTGTGTCACCCAAGTAGATATAAGGATCACTCTCCCATGTCCCAAACACGACAGACAAGTACCTTTATAAGGTGGTGAGAGAGTGAGAGAGAGATGGAGTTGGAGTTGGAGTTGGAGTTGGGAGGCTTGAGCCACCTCTTTGTGTCATTCTTTCTGTATAACTTGGCTTCGATATTGGTGCTTCCAGCAATTACAGACGTGACAATGGCGGCAATTTGCCCCGGCGAAAATGAATGTTCACTCGCCATTTACCTCTCCGGATTGCAACAGGCGGTATGTAATTCTCTCTCCAAACGACTTTCCACTTCTCCTCTCCAGCATGCATTGGTTACATTATTTTTTCTCCTTGAAACGGTAACACCAGTTACGGGTGCAACTCGGGTTTGTTGGGCAGGTTGAGAGATCAATTCTAGTTCGATATTAATTATATAATCTTTGACTCTCTTCTTAACATTAATCCGATCTTAATTTAAATTTGGGTGAGCTCGGGTTGAATTCAATTATTTAATTTGAATTGATTTGAAGTTAAAATTTGAATTATTTAATTCGCGCTAGAATTTGAATTGGGTTCGTTAAAATGAATCGGCTAATAAGTATGCTATTAAATTTATTGATCTATATATTTATTTTTAAAAATATTTGAGTTGAGACCGATTTATATATTCTGTTTGAGCCTGATAATTTAATGTCTCAACTCGGGTATTGTTCGAATTCAATTCGGATTAGTGTTTTTTAGTCCAAGCCTCAATTCGAGTATTAAAAACCTTAATTCAAGCCCAGTCTTTTTTCGAATTGGGTTTGAGTTGAATTCCATCGAAGTTACACCCCTAGACACCATGACATCATTGTCACTCACTATCCAATAATAAATCTACAAATAGATAAAGTGCATCTTACTTGAATGGTTATTCAAATATGTAGGATCCACCTGCTTATTCGTTGAATCAATTTTATTTCCAATAAAATAAATCAAAATTGATGTAAATGATGGGTTGCTTTGATACAGATTGTAGGAGTGGGAATGGCGGTGATGGTGCCGTTAATTGGAAAGCTATCTGATTTGTATGGGAGGAAAACATTACTAACAATTCCCTTCATTCTCTCCATTATTCCACTAGGTGGGCTTTCAAGTCTCAACTGTTTCCTAATTGTGTTTTTGTATCCATAAAACTTTGATGGATTCATTTGTAGATCTGAATTATGTGTTAGTTTTTTTTAAAAAAAAGTTTGTTTTATATATATATATATGTATATATTTTATTTTATTTATCCAAGTCTGTCCCCTTCTCGAATATTAGTTGTATGTCAACAAATAATTTTATCATCTATATATCGAGATCGAGATCATGTACCTCACTTTTTGATCAACCATGATTTTACTTTATTTATAAAATTATTTTTTAGGTTAAATAAAAAGTAGTTGGAAAACGTTACTAAACAATTAATACAATTGCAAAGCATGCATTTTATGCATATCTATTCTTTTGGTGAAAAAATTGTCACTCGTAGAAAATTTTTTTGCAGGTATATTGGCATATAGCCAGACAAAAAACTTCTTCTATGCATATTACGCGTTCAGGTTTCTCACTTCTATGATAAACGAAGCGGCTGTTCAATGTCTTGCTGTTGCTTATGTGGTAATTTAAATCATCAAATAGCTGGCTATAGTATTATGTTATCGTCACTTGAATATCCTAGAGTTGTATTCTCAAATATTGTTTTTACACCAACAAACATAACCTAAAAATAAAAAATAAAAAGAGAAGAAGAAGGTCGCAACAAAAACTCTAGCATTTGAATGAATGAATAATTGAAAAAATCAATTTCATATGTGCTTCGGCAAAAGGTTCTCTCACTTTGTTTTAATGTTGGATGATCATCTACTGACAATCCAGATAGAACCCAGTTATTCTACTAGATACCCTACCAAATCATAGTGGATCAATTGACAAGGTTATGGAGAGATTATTAAACAAATAAAAACAGTTCTATATTACTAGTGTTTTATTGTCATCCCTTTGAGAGAAAATCAAGGCACAAATCTAATATTTTACCGACTTAGAGATATACTCATTTCAATTTTATGATAAATATGCATAAAATAAAAAAAATCGAAGAAAGATGTCACTGATAAACATAAAATTCACTGGACCAATGGATGTAGGAACAGAACTAGAAGCTTAGCTTGGTGCAATCAACCTTTCAAAATTTTTTGAAGAAGTCTAGGGAATGAGAATTTGTAGGTTAAAAACATTCATAACCAATAATTTCATAAAAATGTTTCCTCAAGTTTGGAAGAATGGTTGCCCCACCATTACAATTTTTTTTTTTTTCCACGATAATTTATTTCTTCATATATTAGTTATTTACAATTTATTCTTCTACATTATAGAATTGATGTATACAAATTAACTAATCAATTCATATAAAATAATACTACACTTCATTTTTTTTTTTCAAATTTGTAGTTTTTTACCTTTAACAATTGTTATTTGTTATCAATCTATAAGCATGTTTAGTGCATGGACAACAAAGAAAGTGGAATAGATTGCTTTCTTTTAAACCCTTAAAAGAAGATACAACGTGTATAAACGAAATAAGGTTATTTTGACGTGCACTGTGAATCTAGTGAAAAATTATCAATCCAAAATTTTAGTGGATAAAACAACTTATGCAGCAATGTTAACCATAGCCGACCTAGTCAAACACAAAGTATAATAAGCAACCTTGAGGATAAAATGTTGCTCCAAAAAACTACAATCTCACTTCATTTTCCTCGGGCAGACAATATTTCAGAGGAAAAGCGAATTTCAGCATTTGGAGTTTTATCTGGCATAGGAGCCGCTGCATTCATATTGGGTACATTAGCTGCTCGCTTGCTCTCCGGTGCTCAGGCATTTCGGGTTATATTCCTTTGCCATACGTTTTTATTGGATGAAAAGTGGAAATACGGTAGTTGTACCCATAAGAAGTAACACATATAAAACTATCTCATTTTATTTTTTTATTTTCATGATAAAGGATTATAAATAAATCAACAAAAATTTTGAATTATAAATCAGTTTTCAGTGTGGTCGTTCTTAAAACCTTTTTGATATAGTGCTCAAAAAAACACTTTTCAGTATTCAGGTTGCTGCAGCTGTGGCAGTGGCTGCACTCATCTACATGAGAGTTTTTCTAAAGGACACAAGGTGCCACCATGATGCTTCTTCAGTGCAACCAAATGATGCTTTGGTGCATCCAATCTTGCAGAGTGGATCAGATATCATTCAGTCTGATGATGAATCATCTAAGAAGATACAGATCTTCAAAAGAATTCCATCACCCGGCGCTTGCTCAAGAGTAGGTAAGACAAATTTGTATCAATTTTTATGTTTACAGACAGTTCTAATCTTGAGATGCATTATCTGATTACATGGACTATGGTAGGTGGTGCAATGTCTAGTAACATATAGGTACCTGTAATTTCTTTTAAGGCTTGTTGAGACATCTTAATATCAGTTATGTAGGCCTGCATAGTAAAATTGTTGCTAAATTTACCCATACCTAATTAGTGGCAGTAAAATAAATAAGTTTGATGGTAGGATAACCTGTCAGCAAAATGTGCCTCAATTAATTACTTATATCCAATGGGTGCATGTTCTTAATATACATTGTTATAACCTGTATTTCTCTTGCTGCAGAGTCACAATTTCACAAGCAGCATTTGTTGCTCTCTTCAATGGTCTTGGAGTGGGTGGTATTGATGCTACTTTAATGGTGCATTTCTTCCTTTAAATTATTTTTTTCAATGAGATGCAAAATNATTTATCTAAATAAAAAATATTTTGTCGTCCTTAAAAAAAAGAAATTGAATGTGATCCAAATTGACTAGGGTTAATGTATCCCTAATTTGATCAACTATTCAAATTTGTTTATAATTAATCAAATTTTTATTTCATTTAAACTATTAAATCTAAAAAGTCAAGCATATGAACGGCCAAAATCGCTTCATATTTTTTTTGGTAAGTGGAATTACTCCATAATTTTTTATTGTTTTTATAGAAAATTCCAATATTATCAGCGGACATATCGGCCACAGCTAAAGGGATGTCAAAGACAAATGATGCTTGTTTGTAAAATACAAACTTACCCATGAACTTTGATAATATTTTATTTGGAATAATGTCTTAAATTTTTTGAAATTCTAAATATACCTTACATGTTTTAAAAATTGCAGTGGGGGGAGCTCCCCCTGTACATTGGCCCCTGTTTCGGATCGTAGTGGATGGATGGGATGAGCTCACCAGATTTCATTCAATTGCTCTTAATCATCGGTAGGTACAAATTGCCAAGAAGCTACAATACAATATGTCTTGGCTTGGGCTAGGCTAGACGTTTTTCCTTTTTTTGATACAAATGAAAAAATACACCCACCAGGGCCACCATGCAAACCAGTGACCACGACCTTGTGTCACCCAAGTAGATATAAGGATCACTCTCCCATGTCCCAAACACGACAGACAAGTACCTTTATAAGGTGGTGAGAGAGTGAGAGAGAGATGGAGTTGGAGTTGGAGTTGGAGTTGGGAGGCTTGAGCCACCTCTTTGTGTCATTCTTTCTGTATAACTTGGCTTCGATATTGGTGCTTCCAGCAATTACAGACGTGACAATGGCGGCAATTTGCCCCGGCGAAAATGAATGTTCACTCGCCATTTACCTCTCCGGATTGCAACAGGCGGTATGTAATTCTCTCTCCAAACGACTTTCCACTTCTCCTCTCCAGCATGCATTGGTTACATTATTTTTTCTCCTTGAAACGGTAACACCAGTTACGGGTGCAACTCGGGTTTGTTGGGCAGGTTGAGAGATCAATTCTAGTTCGATATTAATTATATAATCTTTGACTCTCTTCTTAACATTAATCCGATCTTAATTTAAATTTGGGTGAGCTCGGGTTGAATTCAATTATTTAATTTGAATTGATTTGAAGTTAAAATTTGAATTATTTAATTCGCGCTAGAATTTGAATTGGGTTCGTTAAAATGAATCGGCTAATAAGTATGCTATTAAATTTATTGATCTATATATTTATTTTTAAAAATATTTGAGTTGAGACCGATTTATATATTCTGTTTGAGCCTGATAATTTAATGTCTCAACTCGGGTATTGTTCGAATTCAATTCGGATTAGTGTTTTTTAGTCCAAGCCTCAATTCGAGTATTAAAAACCTTAATTCAAGCCCAGTCTTTTTTCGAATTGGGTTTGAGTTGAATTCCATCGAAGTTACACCCCTAGACACCATGACATCATTGTCACTCACTATCCAATAATAAATCTACAAATAGATAAAGTGCATCTTACTTGAATGGTTATTCAAATATGTAGGATCCACCTGCTTATTCGTTGAATCAATTTTATTTCCAATAAAATAAATCAAAATTGATGTAAATGATGGGTTGCTTTGATACAGATTGTAGGAGTGGGAATGGCGGTGATGGTGCCGTTAATTGGAAAGCTATCTGATTTGTATGGGAGGAAAACATTACTAACAATTCCCTTCATTCTCTCCATTATTCCACTAGGTGGGCTTTCAAGTCTCAACTGTTTCCTAATTGTGTTTTTGTATCCATAAAACTTTGATGGATTCATTTGTAGATCTGAATTATGTGTTAGTTTTTTTTAAAAAAAAGTTTGTTTTATATATATATATATGTATATATTTTATTTTATTTATCCAAGTCTGTCCCCTTCTCGAATATTAGTTGTATGTCAACAAATAATTTTATCATCTATATATCGAGATCGAGATCATGTACCTCACTTTTTGATCAACCATGATTTTACTTTATTTATAAAATTATTTTTTAGGTTAAATAAAAAGTAGTTGGAAAACGTTACTAAACAATTAATACAATTGCAAAGCATGCATTTTATGCATATCTATTCTTTTGGTGAAAAAATTGTCACTCATAGAAATTTTTTTTGCAGGTATATTGGCATATAGCCAGACAAAAAACTTCTTCTATGCATATTACGCGTTCAGGTTTCTCACTTCTATGATAAACGAAGCGGCTGTTCAATGTCTTGCTGTTGCTTATGTGGTAATTTAAATCATCAAATAGCTGGCTATAGTATTATGTTATCGTCACTTGAATATCCTAGAGTTGTATTCTCAAATATTGTTTTTACACCAACAAACATAACCTAAAAATAAAAAATAAAAAGAGAAGAAGAAGGTCGCAACAAAAACTCTAGCATTTGAATGAATGAATAATTGAAAAAATCAATTTCATATGTGCTTCGGCAAAAGGTTCTCTCACTTTGTTTTAATGTTGGATGATCATCTACTGACAATCCAGATAGAACCCAGTTATTCTACTAGATACCCTACCAAATCATAGTGGATCAATTGACAAGGTTATGGAGAGATTATTAAACAAATAAAAACAGTTCTATATTACTAGTGTTTTATTGTCATCCCTTTGAGAGAAAATCAAGGCACAAATCTAATATTTTACCGACTTAGAGATATACTCATTTCAATTTTATGATAAATATGCATAAAATAAAAAAAATCGAAGAAAGATGTCACTGATAAACATAAAATTCACTGGACCAATGGATGTAGGAACAGAACTAGAAGCTTAGCTTGGTGCAATCAACCTTTCAAAATTTTTTGAAGAAGTCTAGGGAATGAGAATTTGTAGGTTAAAAACATTCATAACCAATAATTTCATAAAAATGTTTCCTCAAGTTTGGAAGAATGGTTGCCCCACCATTACAATTTTTTTTTTTTTCCACGATAATTTATTTCTTCATATATTAGTTATTTACAATTTATTCTTCTACATTATAGAATTGATGTATACAAATTAACTAATCAATTCATATAAAATAATACTACACTTCATTTTTTTTTTTCAAATTTGTAGTTTTTTACCTTTAACAATTGTTATTTGTTATCAATCTATAAGCATGTTTAGTGCATGGACAACAAAGAAAGTGGAATAGATTGCTTTCTTTTAAACCCTTAAAAGAAGATACAACGTGTATAAACGAAATAAGGTTATTTTGACATGCACTGTGAATCTAGTGAAAAATTATCAATCCAAAATTTTAGTGGATAAAACAACTTATGCAGCAATGTTAACCATAGCCGACCTAGTCAAACACAAAGTATAATAAGCAACCTTGAGGATAAAATGTTGCTCCAAAAAACTACAATCTCACTTCATTTTCCTCGGGCAGACAATATTTCAGAGGAAAAGCGAATTTCAGCATTTGGAGTTTTATCTGGCATAGGAGCCGCTGCATTCATATTGGGTACATTAGCTGCTCGCTTGCTCTCCGGTGCTCAGGCATTTCGGGTTATATTCCTTTGCCATACGTTTTTATTGGATGAAAAGTGGAAATACGGTAGTTGTACCCATAAGAAGTAACACATATAAAACTATCTCATTTTATTTTTTTATTTTCATGATAAAGGATTATAAATAAATCAACAAAAATTTTGAATTATAAATCAGTTTTCAGTGTGGTCGTTCTTAAAACCTTTTTGATATAGTGCTCAAAAAAACACTTTTCAGTATTCAGGTTGCTGCAGCTGTGGCAGTGGCTGCACTCATCTACATGAGAGTTTTTCTAAAGGACACAAGGTGCCACCATGATGCTTCTTCAGTGCAACCAAATGATGCTTTGGTGCATCCAATCTTGCAGAGTGGATCAGATATCATTCAGTCTGATGATGAATCATCTAAGAAGATACAGATCTTCAAAAGAATTCCATCACCCGGCGCTTGCTCAAGAGTAGGTAAGACAAATTTGTATCAATTTTTATGTTTACAGACAGTTCTAATCTTGAGATGCATTATCTGATTACATGGACTATGGTAGGTGGTGCAATGTCTAGTAACATATAGGTACCTGTAATTTCTTTTAAGGCTTGTTGAGACATCTTAATATCAGTTATGTAGGCCTGCATAGTAAAATTGTTGCTAAATTTACCCATACCTAATTAGTGGCAGTAAAATAAATAAGTTTGATGGTAGGATAACCTGTCAGCAAAATGTGCCTCAATTAATTACTTATATCCAATGGGTGCATGTTCTTAATATACATTGTTATAACCTGTATTTCTCTTGCTGCAGAGTCACAATTTCACAAGCAGCATTTGTTGCTCTCTTCAATGGTCTTGGAGTGGGTGGTATTGATGCTACTTTAATGGTGCATTTCTTCCTTTAAATTATTTTTTTCAATGAGATGCAAAATTTCCTAAAAAAAAAAATAATGCAGATGCAAAATCAGCAGTTTTTTTCTCTCTTGATTACCCCATAGTCATGGATAAGTGGCAAGTGTACGTATCTAAAACAATAAAAAGATAGCTGGCTATACACGGAAGGTTGACAAATCTTTCATAATTAGCCATCGAGATAACATTCATAATTTGGAGCTCAGTGAAGAAGAATGGGCATTAAAACTTCAAATAGGGCTCCTGTCATGATATTTTGTTTTGTTTACAAAAATGATAGATCACTACAGAAAAATGGGAAGCATTTCATATAGACGAAGTGATGATATAATTGAATGGGAAGGGGGGAATTGAGATGGTAGGAAGTGTCTTATGAATGTGCTTATTGGTTGAAGTGCTGTGTTAGAAGCAACAAGCAATTTACATATCAAGTCCTGTTATGTAAGGAAAAACTGGGGTTACAAGTTCGTAGACAAAGCTCACAACATATGAGATCTTAGAGATGATTGAGGAGAGTACAAACCACAATCTCCAAATATGTTGTTCCAACTACTGTTGTTACCAACAAACTTTACCCCCTGATTTCAGGCGTAAATAATAAACTCATCAAATATGCAGCCAAAATCTGTTCATAATGTGTGAAAGTTTCATGCCTGTGCAGTATTTCAATTCAACAAAAACCAGTTTGCCGATATAATTCTGATTATGAGCATTGCAGCGACTATTTCACAGGTACGTTTTCAATGACTTTGTGCTAATATGTTTGGTCTTTATCATCTATCTTTCTTCCCCCCTACAATCCTCCTGTAATACGTTCCTATTGTCGTGTGCTGACACTGGAATATTTGAGGAATTCTGCAGCTGCTTCTCATGCCGACGTTGGCTCCTATCGTAGGAGATGAGGAGAAATTGCTTTCCACAGGACTGTTTGTTGGATCTTTGGCTGTATATGCTTGTACCACTCGGGAACTAGTTGTTTTCTAGAGGGTGTGTGTGTGGAGAGAGAATTTGTGCAAACATCTATTATATGCTGATCATTTGTCTGGCATCATGCAGATGTTACTTGAGAGCATAGCATGGTCAAGTTGGGTAAGAGCTTTCAACTATATCAACAGCTCTTTGATTCAATCAGTATACCATGATTTTGTATTAGTAGTATGACGACTGCTTGTTCCCTTTGCACATAAAATATTTTTTTTTATCGAATTATTCTTTATTAGCAAATGTCGAGACCACTCGCTTCGTAACAGGGGACTTGGGCTAACTATGCTATATTTTCTTCATTGCAAGCTTATATTCCAGCTTATTACTATGTAATGTTTCAAGGAATTTGAAGGTCAATTTTTGTTAAAAAAATGGTTGTTGCGATTTAATATAATGAGCTCGATTTGTTGGGGTGTTCGATTTTTATATTGTACCATGTCTTCAAGCACGAGTGTTCCGTCTTTTGTAAAATTAACTAATTATACATCTTTACGATGAATTTGGGTATGGAATAATGGTAGTTTTGGTAATTGGGTATGTATTGATGATTGTGGTGATATGACGCAAATTTTTTAGGTAGGTTTATATTTTTTTGGGCTTTTATTTTTAAAGAAAATTTTGTCCAAATTTCTTGAAATTAGTAGGGATTAGTTTGATATTTTAGTGGTTGGATATGTGGTGATAATTGGGTATGTATTAATTATTATGGTGGTATGGTGAATTATATAATTGTTATATCTAATTGTAAGTTCTATAGACAAGTTGTTTTAGGTTGTAAAAAATTTTTAGGTAATGTAATATTTTTCGAATTTTTATCTAATTTTTCGTTACACCGTACATTCAGACACGGACAATTACTAGTAAACAAATATTTAAGATTATTTTCTCTCCATAATTTCACTACATCTTGGAAAAACCTCCGAGATTGATACAAATTCTATTGTCATAACTCAGAAAAAACTTTGAGATCTCGATATAGATTCAATGACATAGCTTGTAAATGATGCGAATGTAAGAAACTCGGAATAATCAGCCCCGGTAACATGCATGCAAATAAAAAGATTCGACACTAGTGAGCTCCCCCCCTAGAATTTGTCACTGCGGAATCTAGTGAAATCTCTTCTGATATGCAATAAAATCACTCGCAATTTAGAGAGAATCAAATCAATGTGTCTCTCACCGTACTCAAACCAGAGTCGCGACACAAACAGTTAAAGCTTCATGAGTGAATGTAAGAACTTGTACATAATACTAGATTGGAACAAAAATGTAGCTTGCAAATGATGTCGTCGTCTTCTTCCTATGCCATGAAACACTTGGTCCAGCAGTCAAGCTAAAAGAGAAACATAATGTCTAGTAACTTTTCAAGTTCATGAATTCGTCTCCGGCAGAATATGAGACCACTTGGTGACACATCCTACTGCGGTTCTTACTCATCAATATCAGTTAACCTTTCTGTTCTGAAGGCAAAAACCTTGAAACAAAACAAAAGTATCTGCTATCATCAACACACTTCATCTTGAGCTGATTCTTCTCTGGACATGAACAAACTTGATATATTACAACAAGAACTATTACAAAGAAAATAACCATAAACATACGATAGGTTTATTGAATACTGAAAATCATTCATAGGAAAACAAAACCGGAAAAATTATTTAGAGTAACCAAAGCCACTTGAAAGAGCTTAATCACTTGTTATGTACAGTTACCAAAGCTTTTTAAGCAAAGTGTGGCCCGACATCATTCAAAACAGTCTTCAGCACTGGAGTTATCTCTGCCTTCGTCTGATGAACCATCACTGTTGGCATCAAACGTTAAAATAAGCTCTAGCAGGTCCTGTCCAGCGGATGAATTCTCTCCGTTCTGATCCGGACTTGTCCCCTGCCTTTGCAGTGAAAACAATTGCAGCATAAGGTCCTGCGGTGAAACCAAGTGGTGTAACCAGCCCTTTGCCTTGGGTCTCAGCTGGAAACAAGAAGTGTAAAGTCATCAGTGCAACTGCCATGATTAGCATCATCATCATCAACAAAAAAATTATCATCATCCCCTTATAATATCATTACCATCACAACACCATCCATCATACTCGTAGTCATAGTCGACATTGGCATCGTTAAAATCATCAATGTCATCAAAGGAATCATCATTACCAACACCATAATCATGATTGTTAGAACCAACATCATCATTCTAGTTACAGTTCGAAAAAAACATCATTCTAGTTATCATGGGAATCTTGGCCAGTATCATCATTGTCAATACCGTCACATGATTCATCTTCCTTGTCCGAGTCCTCCCCCTCCCCCTCCTCCTCCTCATTATCATAACCATCTTCCTCCTCCTCCTCGTCATCGTCGTCGTCGTCTTCATCATCATCGTCGTCGTCGTTGTCGTTGTCGTCATCGCTACCACCACCATCAAAGTGAACAATGGGAAAGAAACGAATCCGTTTGGGTATGATAACCTTATACAAAAAAGTAACAGCCGCGAAATTAGAACTTCCTCTGCTGCCCGTACAGTCTGTCGCATGGATATACATATATATAGATATAGCTTCCAACTATGGTGGTCAGGGACTTGGGAGTAAGGAAGCACTCGAGAGGACCTAAGGTGTGTAATAACTATGGAGGTGGGAAAGTAAATTAAACTATTATCCTTAGACAATAATATATATGCAGTATGATCCTAGTTCCATGGTTGCCAACTGACATGCATTATCAAGAGAGAGCAATAGAGAAATAAAAGAGCAGAAGATTTAGAGTTCGCGATATATTATTGTTAACCAAGATGAGTCCCATAGTTTAAGATTTGGCCAGGACCTTGAGAAGAAAAAAAGCAAAACATATTTACAGATGGTTAAGTTTCAAAAGTTAGCCAGACAAAGCGAAACATACCTTTTCAATATTTGTAGGCAGAGTAGCTCTATCTATAGCTTTTGGCGTCCACATTTTTATATTGTACTCGATTCCGCTGCTAGCAAGCACAGCAGTATGAGGATGAGATTCAGTACAGTTCACCACAGTATTATCTGCTTCCATGACACGAATGAGTTCCCCACCCTTCTTCTTCCAAATGAAAATCCGGCCACAATCTGACCCACTAACAACATACTCACATTTAGGCCCAAAGAAGTTCACGCCTTTCACTGTCTCACAGTTCCTGTGACCCTTATAGACTTGGGGACCAACTTTGACATCTGGATCCATATCTGTTGGAGATTCTTCCGAATGATGGTCGGGAACCATTTCACCTGCATCAGTGCCCATAGACACTGAAGAGCCCATGTTCGGATCAGGTCCCAAACCCATATCCCTAGTGAAAAGATAGATAAACTCATCATTGTAAGAAACAAGAAGCTCGCTCTGATCTGAGAATGCCAGTCCTGTTATCCCCACATGCTCGTCACCAATTAAATGTTGGGGGCAAAAGAAATCAGTTGGCTGTCCAAAGTCAATTGAGCCATCCCATTTATATTTGCGAATATCATAGAGTCGAGCATACTCGTCCGATCCGGCGACTGCAAACAAATTAGGATTCCTCGGATCTATGGCAATTGCGTTAAGATGAACTAATGGCATGTAACCTCTATCTTGGAGAGGTTGACAAGTAAAAAGTTCTGTCGCAGTTCCAGTTCTCAGATCAAACTGCAAAAATAGATGACAGAATCACACCATTGTCCTTTTACGAATTTGGAAAGGCAGGAAACAAATGAAAAAACAGGAAAAAAGAGTGACATTTGCTTCACTATCTAAAGAGACACCGGAAAAATCACAATGGGTAACAAGATCAGCAGGACCCCACTTCCTTAGACCTAGAAGTCTAGACTTCAAGTCTTCCCCTTGGAACCATTTCCTAGGCTTTTAGTAATTCCTACTGTATGTGGAATAGATGATAAAATGAGACCAAAAGGATTAGGGGAGTGCTATAAGAGGCCAGATAAATCTTTGAGCATAAAAATCCCCCCACCAAAAAAGCCCAAAAACAGGAAGACATCAGGACCTCGAACAGGGTACTCATCATGGGGTGCCATCTATGGAGATGATCATGAGCGTTCATCTGCTGCTACAACCAGTTGTTCAGCTTTATCCAGCAATACCAAGATTAGTAAAAGAGAAAAAAAAGGAATATAGAAAGTCATAATGAAGCTTAACAAGATAAGCAGTGACTCACATGCTGAACCAATCCATCTTCACCGCATGTATAAAATATATGAGGGCTGCCGGGTTCGACGGCCAATTTGTGGGCCCGTCCTTGATGTTTTGCCAGCAATTTGGTCTCCACTGGACCGCGTTCTAGAATTTGAGCATGTCTCACCTGAAGACAAGCAATATTTCCATACAACAAATGCTTAATGTTTCTTTTCTTTATGGAATGAAATTTATATCATAAATTCTGTAAACCCAAGAAAACATCATAAAAATATCTTAAATAGATAGCACATTGAGCAAGGATGGTAGATTATTCATAATGACACAGTAATATTGCTATCAAATACTATTTGACATCCAACTCTCCAAGTAGTATTGCTATCATCCACACTATGACATCAAACTCTCCAAGTCTATTTGCTTGAGGAATTTTAGTCTACTGTGAAAATACATTAACCTAAACCCAAACAATTAACATAAATTTCCTCACCAGGAGATATGCTAGTGGATTCCATTACTAGACAGATGCCAACTTCAAATGAACATCAGACATTTCAAATCATGCTGGCCTAATGCAACGCATGGAGCAAGAGATTACCTGCCCATCAGCAGCACAAGTAACAATGCTTCGATCCTCTGAGTAAGGCATCATCTTCGCCTGGAAAACATTGTTGTTATGACCTGAGTGGAATGAGAGTTTAATGTGCCCACTTTCCCAATCCCAGAGTATGACCCTCCTATCATCAGAGCCTGACACGAGAATGTCACCATCTGCATTGAAGCTAACTGTGTTAACACAACCTCTGTGTTTTTCCAGCTTCCTAAAGAGATCGAGTCGAAGAACAAGATCCTGAAACAGGAAAATATCAATTGAGGTTATATAGAAATTTGAGATTCATGTGTTGTGCAGTGAGAACTGCACAGAACAAACAATAACTAACAACCCACCAAAAATAGGAATTTCAACAGACAAAAGATCCCATTAAAACCAAACAAATTGCCATTTGATTAGAAAGCAAAAAAAAATTTGCCATTTGTTTATATTTTCATGAGAAATCTTGCAGCCTAATTATGATTCCATTTGAGCAGATACATTTTTTTACCACCATTTAAGGGGGGAGTCCACATACGCCTAGTTTAACAATAATAACCCCGACTCTTATGCCAGGTGTGTGAACAAAATCAGAATAGTAGAAAGGAGGTTATAAAAGTATCTCCAACTTTAACTCAAATGTAGACTCAAATTTAAATTTGAATTAAAATAGTCCAAAAAACTTCTTCAACCTTTGACTCAAACCTATACCAAATCAAAGTAAAATTTATTCTAGACTCAAATTAAAACAGACTCAAATTTTATACCAAATTTCTAACGGTAACTTTTTAACCTATTCAAAACTAAAAGATTTCTTCGACGACTTGTTCTCACTCTCTCTGCTTCCGTTGCCGACCACCACCAAAACTTTCACAAATCATTTGAAGGTCTTTAGGTAAGTTTTTATCTTTTCATCTTTCATCTTCTTGATTTATTATATTTTTCAAAACCCTGATTTCACCCATCTTTCATACTATATAAATCCTAAGCCTATCTATCAAATTTTTCTTTAATTTTTTCGAGTTAAATAATATCGATAATACAATTTCAGACCACCGATTTTCCTAAAATTTTAAACATTCATTACCCACAAATTTAAAAAATTTGTCATTTTATTTCTTCAATGTTTCATTTTTTTAAAAAACCTATGATTTTGCATTCTTCAGACCAGGTCCATGTCAAAATAATTATATATTTTTCTTTTTCTTTATCTAAATTTATAAAAAATGATAAGTGATTAAAATAATCTTAGAATTCTGAGCTGATTTCTTTATTCTCATGTAGTGTTATATATATATATATATATTCATTTTTTTTAATTACTCATTTGTGGAGAGATATGAAAGTTTTATTTATTTTATCAAATATTATGATTTCAATGACAAAAAAAAATGAGTTTTAGAACAATAAGGAAATTTTTTATAAGATTTGAGTAGATATTTGAGTTAGTTCAATAGAGTACTGCAGGGGATTTATCCGCGTGTTCAGGATGTCCTCCCCCCACGGAAGGATTTTGGCTGACCTGGCTTCGCCCCTCTTGAGCGTTATTCACCAATAGTCATTATCCCTCTTCGCCAACAGGAGCTTGTCCCACATCGGAAGAGGGTCGTCTCCCCCCCTTGCATATAAGTCTTGGCTTCATATGGAAGAGGTACCCACTAGCCACTTTAACCCTCAAGAGGGGCGAAGCCTGGTCAGCTAAAATCCTTCCGTGGGGGGAGGACATCCTGAACGCGCGGATAAATCCTCTACAAAAAGGCCAAGGCTTATATGCAAGGGGGAAAACGACCCGCTTCCGATGTGGGACAAGCTCTTGTGGGCGAAGAAAGGTAAAGGCTACCGGTGAATAACCCTCAAGAGGGGGCGAAGCCAGGTCAGCCAAAATCCTTCCGTGGGGGGAGGACATCCCGAACGAGCGGATAAATTCCCTACAAGTACTCTATATTAAATCAAGTTTTTTACTCAAATTTGAGTCATGGTAGGAGATGCTTTAAGATGGTGAGTCAATCCCACCCCTTTATTCGACCAAAGAGGGTCCTCTGAATATAAATATGTGCGCCCGTATAAATGAATTTATATATACCTAGACTCGCGTCTGATTCATTATATAAACATATAAACGATCTATACTAAACTGTATGTATGAGAAAGAAAAGCACCAATATATGCTTTATTGGGTAAGCTTACATAGTCCAATGGCGACATTGGATCAATTATAGTAATTAAAGGCCACCCAAGCACAAGCGACACCAATTGCACCTCTTGAATTTCAAATTCCAATAATAACAAATAGGATCAGCATAAACTAGTGCGTGCGTATGATCTTTAGCAGATAGATAGGAACAATTTGATGAATTGATATGGCAATGGCAAACCAATTAAAGAAATCAGAAGGAAAAAAAAAAAAAAGAATTTGGTTATCATCCACGAGAGGGATATGGATATAAAATTAGTCAAAAGAAAAAACCTCGGAGGCGCCGCGACGCTGAGCGAAGTTTCTGGTAGAGAGGCCGCCGACTTCTCGTTTCCATACATCGACAATCGCCGTGTCGATGCTTGTTCTCGCCCTCTTTCCCATCCTGTTATACACTCAAACAAAAAAAATTGATTTGTTCGTTTAACTGAAGCAAATCAACAATCAATCAAACTAATAAACATATATATCTATATATATATAAATAGCAGAGACGAGAGAGAAGGCAGGGGTTGGGTTGGGTTGGTTTGGTTTGGTTTGGTCTGTGTTGGGTTTAAGGAGGAAAAGAAAGGGTAGCCTTGAGGCTATCGACTTCGACAGATCGGTTTTGTTTTTAACTGTGTGTGCATCAGCAGCAGATCTCTCTCTCTCTCTCTCCTCCTCCTCCTTTTTTGGCCACTGGGTGACTGGTGTGCGTCCCTCGCTTGTTCTGTATTCCTCCTAGGGCCTTTGGGAATGTTCACGTACTTTGATTGAACCGTGGGGAAAGACCTACAGCAATGCGAAAGAGTCCTTTTTCATGTGGTAAAGGCCTAGGATTAATTTACAACCTGGGATGTGGCAATAGCCAATTTATACTATATATTAAAAGAATTAGGATAAAATTATGTGCATAAAAAATATGTACAAAATTATCTATAGCTTTTGAATTAGTGATGAAATTCACGGATCTGATGATTGTAAATGATTTTGATGTACAATTTTGATGTGCATAGCATTGTTGATTTGAGAGGGAGAGTTCGATAAGTTTTTTCTCCCCAAAATTTATTTTTTCTTAATTTTAAATTATTTAATTAGTTTCCTCAAATTAAATTCCCACATATGACATTTATAATCAATTTTAAAAAAATATCCATTTAACATATTGTAAGTAATTTTTTATTTATATTACGATGGAGTGGGGATAGATGGATAATTATGAAGTGGGAGTAAAGATAACAGTAGCGTTGAAGAAATATTATAATTTGTGTACATTACATAGATATGTTGGGTTGTGATTAATTATTTTTTAGTTTAATAGTCAGAGGGTGTTCAGACTACTTTACACACATTTCGACTAATCATCTTTTTGGTTTAGTCAAGAACAAATCATTTATATCAACCATTAATATATTTATAAGGGATAAATTTCTCATGACTTATCTCTTTCCAAAAGATAAATTCTTCATCAACTAACCCCAAGAAATAGTTTAAGATATTAAATGAAATGACAAGCAAGAAGTTAATAAAGAGATTAAGTGATTTATTATCCTAATCACTTGACTAAAATCTTTGAGTGTTCTATTGTGCACTCTTTTTTATTTTTTTACACACACATATGAATCTTCCGCCATTTATTATAAACGTGTTATTCAAAAATTGCAATAGTGTTTTTTCATCTAGAACCCACCGCTATAGACAGGTGGAATCTATGTTGTTCAAAAAATCGCCATACTCTAAAACGACGAATATTAAGGTGGTGACAAATTGAGTCTTGTCATTAATAATGTAAAGTCCCATGTGAACGACAGCATGGGTGCAAAACTAGATGTACAATACCAAAAAATGAACTTTGTTATTGTAACCAGGCACACGCATTTGATAAGTACCAGTATAATTCGAGTGCCCAAAAATTTAATCTCACGATATTAAATTTTTTTAACATGTGTATATTATTGTATATGAATAATATTTTAAATAAAAATTATATTAATTATAAATTAATTTTATTAAACATATGATAAAAATAAGTGATTTGATATTTGTAGAGAAGAAATATATAAATGATTAAATATGTGATAAAAATGAATGATGCGACTTGACATTTGAGTCTAACAGAGAGATGACGGGGGAGATAAGTAATTATTGATAATTTTTAAAAAAAAAATATGACTGTGATAAAATTCAAAATATGAGTTATTTTATTATATAAATGTCACACATCGTTATTTGAAATGAAGTTGCGAATCATCTAAATGCTGTCAGGGGCGGCTCGTGTTATTAAACAAGCTTCGACTTTAAGTGTCATTTTTAAAGAAAACTCTAAACTTTTAAATATCATAAATAATTTATATAAAACACATTAAATTTATAAATGTTTTAAACCTTACAAAAAAACTTCATAAAAATACTCAAAAAAAATTAAAAATTAAGGCCTCACTTCAAGGAAGGCCCATAATTTATAAGTGTGCAATAATAATCCAAACAAAAAATTTAAATTCATACCTAAACAAAATAATTCAACCAACTTAAGTAAATTAGGTCTATTAGTTCAGTCGTGAAATTAAAGGTCTTAAAATTTATTTTTTTAATAAAGAAAAAAAAACTAATTGTAATACTAAAGTTATTAAAAAATCTAGTTTTAACCCTCAAAAAAGTGAAATTTAAATTTACGATCATAATTTTTCAATCATTTTCTCTTTCTCTTACTATTAAGTTCAAATATAGTAAAAAAAACTTGAATATAAACATTTGATTAATATTTTTGTATTTAAAAAAATTAAAAATTAAATTTATTATTAATATTAAAAATAAAAATGTCTCATTTATCATTTCGTCCCAAATTGTCTCGGGCCACCTCTGAATGCTGCATACTGTTCCTACTAAACAATATAGTAAAGTTTTTGTGCTGCAAGAATTGCCTCAAATTAGGCTTTTTCTTTCCCAAAAAAAAAAAAAAAACCAAGAAACGAAGAGAATAACAGAAAAAGGGAAACAAATGACGCTCTATAGGATACAGTAAATGTTCCTTGGCCATCGACATCTCTAGAGCCTGCACACCTCCTTGAGCAATGCTATTTTATCTATTAAGAGAAGATCCTGTACCTCCCACTAGTATTTCCCCTAGAAGTAAAGATGTCTCAGCTTCAACACCAGTAACGAGATCTTGCCATGCCTCATTTTTGCAGGTTGCTAACCTGTTAAGCAAGGTGAGAAACTTCAACTGTTAAGCCATTCAATTACATAGTAATTATGTGCATAAACAATCATTTTGTGCATGACCAACAACTTGGTGATAACACAATAATAAAATTCAGATTAAGGGGGTAAAAATCACTAAATCATCTCAGCCAAGTAAAGCTAGCAATTTAAGAGAACTTATTCTATCAGTGGCATTTGGATGTCCAATGGAAAAAATCATTCTATTGTCATTTAGATGGTAAATGAACCAAGTCTATGTGGTTTTCTAGCATTTTAAATGAATAAAGAATGGTTCATTTGAAATTTCACGTACTTTGTAATCTTTCCAAGTAATCCTATTCTTGGCAGCAACACATTTTCCATTCTAATGACCCCATTTGAGGTAGTGAAATTGGACCTTAAATTGAATATATATTTACAAATGGAATGGCCTAGTTTCCTAAAAAAAAAATTCCATGGGATGTCCAAAAAAACTTACTTCATGAAATTTATAATGTTATCTATGGTCTGGACAAACATCGAAATCAAGAAGTTTTCATAACTAAGCATCACCTTCCAAGTTTTATAACAGATACCATGGGCCAAGTCGTCTTTAACAAAATCACCCCAGAAAGTTGGCAAGTGTCAAGTGTTAACCCAAACCATTGGCCACTCCAGTCATCTGAATTGGAAAAAGCTGTGAAATAATGGATTGAAATTCAACAACGGGTAAATCCTCTAGCAAATTCGAAGCAAGACATGTCAAAATAGTAACAAGGCCTGGCGAGATTAATACCTTTGTGTGATGATTTTGGACAATTCTTCCAATGGCCTGGCAAGATTTTGTCTACTCCAATTCGTAAGTTTTAAGGGACTCACTAGAGTATCCTCTATGTCCCAAGAGCTCAAAACATCAAAGAGCAATTCCTGGGCACGTCTGCCCCGTATGATGACCATGGACATTCTGCTTGGCTGTTGAAAGAGATCTAGGTATGAGAAATTCAGATGCAAGAGCAGATATTGGAAACATTATTTAGACACACAAAAATAATACGCATTTAGGAAGCACAAAAATAAACATTTGTTGTCATTCAGTAATCAAGAGTATAGACTCTAGCATTATAAAACAGTTTTATGAAAATACTCAAAAAGTTCTAAATTTTTAACGAATGATTTCCCACCCATTGGACACTATTGAATAAGTTGGAGCATACTTACCAGATTGAATGTAGCTTTTTTTTAACTTTCAACTGTTGGCCTTCATTAATGGTGGATAATTGTGTCACGATGATAGCAGGCATGCAACATGTTCGTGATTTGACTCTATCCTGGATTAGCCCGGAAGGAAACCTTTGTGAACACGACCTCTTGGCAGGTTGTGGCCAGAAACAGCAGCCACTTGCAATAGAATTCAAATCTTAGAACTCATGGTTGCAACTTCTTGTTGGAGTATAAACCTCATCAGCCACTAAAGTCTGCCCAGCTGTACCCTGGTTCCTTTCTAATATTATTTCTCTCCATCATCATCCGGACTTCATTGGCATCATCCCATTGCCCAACATCAGCATACATATTATATAGCAACACATATGGGCCTGAGCTTTCTGGTTCAATCCTCATCAATGCTTCTGCTGCAACTCGGGCTAACTCCACGTTGTTGTGCACCCTGCAAGCACCCAACAATGCACCCCAAACAGCCTTGTCTGGCTCGAATGGCATACTATTAATCAAATTCATGGCCTCCCCAACCTGTCCATTCCGGCCCACTATATCAACAAGAGAGGCAAAATGTTCTACCCTTGGTTCAATACCAAATTCACTAACCATGGTTTTAAAATGCATCCGACCTAGTTCCACTAGGCCAGCATGAGCACACGCATTCAAAACCGCAATGAATGTGACATAAGTTGGCTGCACTTTAAGCTGCTTCATTAATTCAAAAAGTTCTAGAGCCTCTTTTGCAAATCCATGGGATGCATACCCACCAATCATAGCATTCCAAGAGATTACATGTTTCTCAAATTTCATTTCATCAAAAATAGTTCTCGCCTCAATTATTGCCCCACATCTTGCATACATAGTAATGAGGGAGTTATTTAACGGGATGTCAGGAATAACAATCTTCATGACCTGCTGATGAATCTGCATTCCCAGATGCAGAGCCACAGACTCAGCACAAACACTAAGAAGTGAAGACAAAGTGTGACAATCTGGTTTTTCTCCTTCCATTTGCATCTGGATGAAAAGCTTAATTGCTCCGTCATAGTCGGCATTTTTTTCACATCCTGCTATGATACAGTTCCACGAAATGCGGGTTTTTTGGGGCATCCTCTCAAAAAAGTCGCAAGCAAGTTTCAAGTTACTCATTTGGGCATACCCCGAGATCATCGAATTCCAAGACAATGTATCAGGATTCGGCATTCTAGAAAAGAGATTTGAAGCCTCTTCCAGATCCGATATGTGAACATACCCACTAATCATGGTGTTCCAGGAGAAAGTATCTCGGTCCATCATTCGGTCAAAGAGTTCCCGAGCAGAGATAATATCCCTTGCTTTTACATAGCACATGATCATGGAATTCCACGACACCACATTTCTCACAAACCTACCATCACCTCCTTTTCGACAATCAGGATAAAAGGGGATTTGATCAAACAGGCGTCGAGCATCACCAACCCTTCCTTTCTGACCATATCCAGCTATCAAAGCATTATAAGCATGAACCAGATCTTCCCGCTCATCATCCCTTTTACCGAATGTAATCAGAAACCTTTCAGCTTCATCTAATGCCCCATTCTGAATAAGACCAGACACAAGTGCACTAAGAGAAACCGCGTCACGCTCAGGCATCCTATCAAAAAACTCAATAGCACTTTTCACATCACAATTTTGTAAGAAACCAGTAATTATTGCATTCCAAGATGTAACATTCCGATCAGGCATGCTATGGAATAGGTTTAAAGCTTCATCCATTTTACCATTTCTAGCATACCCAGTAATCATCGTATTCCAAGAAATAAAGTCTCTATCGGGCATTTGGTCGAACAAATACTTAGCTTCCTCTACATATATGTTCCCAAGACACGACATATAACAAGAGATCATCAAATTCCAGGACACTACGTCTCTATGGGGCATTTCGTCAAACAGTCTTCGAGCCTTGGTTATCTCTCTGCGTTGGACGTACCCACTTATCATCGAATTCCAGGTTACTGTGTTTCGATGCCTCAATCTATCGAACAACATCCTTGCATCTTCAACTCGGCCTGTTCGGATCAACTGGGTAATTTTTTTGTTCAATGAAAGGAGGTCTGGGGTGAGAGAGGTCTTGCGTTTCAGTGTTGAGACAAAACGGCATGGGGCACATGCGAAATGGGGAGTGCATGGTCTGATTGGATGATTCCAGCGCTGCCACTGAGGTCTGCTCCCGAAGGTTATCAAAGTGCATTTCAAGGTGCTTGCTTTGTACCAGCGGACCGCCATAATTGAAGTGAGGCGAGGGAGCCGGTATCTACCAAGCAACAATCATTTGCTTGCGCTTGATATATTTTTATGGGTTTTTCACACTTTGTACGCCAGAAGATGTTAAAATTTTTATTTTGTGCCCTAAAAAATTATTTTTTTTTACATTACACCGTTATTATTTTAAATTGGTTACAATGTAACTCGCAGGCCAGCGGCTATCTCTCCTCGTGTTAAATCTCACTACACATGCGAAACACATTTTGTCCAGAAAGTTTTAATTGGTGTAACTTTAGTCCTTAATTAAAAAATTTATTAAGCTTTTTTAAAAGGGTTACCAGGTATCATTATTTTAATTAGTATTATACGTCCAACGTATGATAATTCATTTATGTAGAGAGATTATTTAAATATAAATTAAATATTTTAAAATTTAAATTAATAAAATTAATATTTTAGAAACCAAACTGGAAAGCAAATCCAAGATTATTTATGTTTGTCTTTCGATCCAATGTTATGTTTTCTCAAACAAACCATTCCCCGGCAATGAGCAGCATTCTCCGACTGCCACTGCCACCGAACCACCGCAGGAGCCTCCTCCGCGAACAACCACAGTCACCTCCTCAAATGTATCTATTACGATGCGCACTAAGCAAGCAAGGCCACCGCTTCCTCTCCACCCTCGCCATCTCCTCCGCCACCGACGACTCCCAAGCCACGAATCGATTAATTCAAAAATTCATAGCATCCTCATCCAAACACGCAGTTCTCAACACCCTCGCCC